AGAACACAAAGGTTTCAGCTAACTTTCAGAAAGTTAGAAGGAATAGACATGAAACTTTATATACCATACCCAGGAGTTGAGTTAATAGTTACATTAGTAGTACAGTTTAAAGTATTACTGTATTTAGGTGAACCATTTGCTTGGCTGGTTATCAATGCACAATGCTCTTTAGTCAAAACAAGTGCTATTGAATATTTAATACATTCAGCTGGAATAGATCCCTGAACACAATCTTACCAAGCATGTGAAGCAGCAACTAGCATGTTACAAGGAAACTAAAAAAGCTAAATACTTGCCTCACAACTGTATTTGTGTGAATGATTCACTATTTTGTCCTTTCTGCCTTGCAGGCCACCTCAAATTTTCTACTGCCTCTCTGCATCCAGTCTGACTGATCTAGTAACCCCTACTGCAGAACTGTTACCTTCTCTCAGAGGCAGCTACCTGCCAGGGCTCTGCATGAAATCCTGCTTTTAACCTGCCACTCAGGAGATGCACTGAAGTATTCAAAGCAGAAGTAACTCCTATTAATGGCAGTTAATTCTAATGGTGATAAGTCGAAATAAACACCTTCAGCTGGGTGTGCCCTTCATATTTAAGCCAGGGTGAAGTGTGCCTCAGCTGTATGAATCTGGCAAAAAAAAAAATGAACCTAAGCAATCAGTCTTACTTACAAAACTAAGAACATATGAATGTGGTCACGATTAAGGAAACTTCAGGTGCATCCTTTGCCGATTTCTTACAGGATGAGCTTTGAAAGAAACATGCACACACCTAAATATTTCTAAGTTGTATGCTTATTTCTACTGCCTATATCAATAGAATTCCTTAAAGCCACTATTTTCAGAACAGGATACCATGTGGAAAAAGTGAAAAATGCCAGCCAGGGCCCAGTACATTTTGCTTTGTATGGGGTTTCAGCAGCCATGGGATAATAAATTGCAGCTGGAAGACTGTTTCAAAACAAGTGAAATTCTACAGTGACATGCATCTATTCCTGAGAATTTCCAAACCCAGATGTAAAATAAGAAATCCAATGGTATTAAATTGGAAAGTTAAATTGCCCAATTGCTGTGGTATTTCAGTCCACAGAACAGAGACGGAAGCACATGTGCATCTCAGCTTTCAAAATTTTAAAGCACTTGAAATGAAACAACCATCATGCCAGGGCCAGCTAAAAGCTCCCCTAGATATGCTCAAATGCACCACCTTCTTTGTGGCTGCTTCCATGTCGGCTGGGAGCCACGCAAGTATTTTCTACCCACGTGGTTCTTCTAGTATACCCAAAGAGGCAACTCTACCGAGGCCGGGCTTTGTCGGTATGGTGTGCTCATCTGTTCCATCAGAGCCTGTTATGTGGATTTCGAACCCAAAGGGGAGCAAGCCAAGTGCTTGGGGTACATGTAAACAACAGGTACAAACAAGTACCAGGATGACTGATGGATGCTCTGCATATGCAAGCCATCTCGGATGGATCTCCACACGTAAAGTCCCACAGATACACGACACTGTTGGAGCAGCCCTTGAGATTTTCGCACATTAGCTAGCTGTGCACTGAATGCTTCTGCCCACACACTTGTGCATCAGCCACTACACAAGCACAGAGCTTCTGCATCACTCCAAACACAAGCTTTTAATTACAAATCAGACCGATTCATTTGCAAGCAACCAGGCCCATGATCATTTTTAAAGCACTTCACTTCACTCTGAACCTTGGGAAGTTTCATAGAGTTTTAAGAAGGGCCAAGAACACTCTGCCCTGTATACGGAGCAGAGGTGCGAGGGAATCACAATTCTCCGCCAGCAGGCCCTTCTCGTACTACACAGTTCTCCTCTCCTCCAGCACTCTGCAGCTCGCTCACTCCTGTTCTGTATTTGATCCACACTACACTCCTGAATGTCTGGCAATACTGATCCGTAGGGTAAGGCTCCTGAAATGCGGCAAGAGGCTGAAAGTAGCAAGAAAGCAAAGAGATGCTTGCTATGTAGATAATAGCCATGCTGCCACGCTTTGCTGCCATCAACAGCCTAAATGTGACCACTGTCCATTTAGTCCATCAACAGACAGCAGGGCAAGAGAAGCAAGCAAGTACGAACAACTGCAAGTCTCCCATGCTTTATTTCAGCTTATGACCTTGTCAAGCAGCAATGCTATTGAGAGGCTCCCAACACAAAAACAAAACAACAGTGTTTAATTTAGTAATACCCGCACATACATCCACTATTGGAAATCCACTCCCGATTTCCCCTGCAGCTCCGCATCACAGCTGCTTTGCAGTAAGCACACTGCCCTATGGGTTTTGGGGAACCTATCCGTTGCTCCTGTACCACGACACTGAAAAGCAAGACTGAATTGGTTGGTATAGAAGAATGCATTTGTTGCATCAAATAAATGAGGAAAAAACTCTGGGAATAGCTTGGGAATGACTAAGAACGGCTCGATACCTGCATGACCAGTCCAAGCCAGTGGGACAGGTGACATCCAGCATTTGCAAAAGCACATGCAGTCTGTGCATCTGACGAATTAAGCCAGCCTTCCAAAATCCGGTGCTCTTTGCAGTCAAAGGCTGCAGTTGTCTGAAGTGCTCAAATTAAGTGCAAAAGCACTCTCAGACACTGAAGCGGTAAGATATCACAGTTCCACGTGCCTAGCCTTCCACAGTTCATTCCTGGGATTCGCGCTATTGTAGCGATTATTTTCTAGTGGGCATACTAGCAGGTGTTCTCACAGGAGGACTGCAGCCCACCGCAGAGCACTGATGGGTATACCTGTATGATACACAAATCTTCAATGTCTCGATGTCATATTCTCATTTTGCTTTGCAGATGTACAATGCTTAACCTTTCTCAAGTACCGCAGAAGCATGTGAAAAGCTCCTTATGAACCCATCTGTGAACATCAATCATTTTTATTTAGCCTCTTGCTCATTCTGCTTCCATTTCTTTTAATCCTGAGAGTGTCTTTTTCAGGCTCATAAGAAATACGATCAAATCTGAATGAAAGGTGCCCATTTATTTTTATTGCACAATAACCTAACAGATCCGTTCCTTTTCTATTTCTTCACAAGTCCCTTCACCAAACATGTGCCCCCTGTGAAAAAAAAGTTTCCAGTTTGGAAAAACTGTTGACTTAAGCGCCGGTTGTTTTTGCCTGAAGCCACAGTATCATTTTTCCTTCCCTAGCTTTCCACTTCTGTATAGTTTTCTCTCCACAAAATTGGCTCTCCTTCTTTCACAAGAGAAAAAGTTTAAAACAGACTGAACAAAACTGGACAAACAAAACATGAGTAAGCCATGAGCAAATACTTAAAGAATCGTTCTAAAAGGCATATAGGACGTTCTCATATGCTCTCTTCACACTATTACAAACGCTATCTGAGAAATACAAGCTTCTGCAAATTTATATCATCCTGTAAGCTGTGTGGGGTAGGACAAACTATGAACAATGCTTAAGAGCACAGGACTAGGACTCAGGTGATCCAGGTTGTAGACCCTACTCAGCCATGGGGCTCACCAGGTGACTTTGGGCCAATCGGGGACCCTCAGTCCAGCCTACCTCATAGGGTTGTTGTTTTGAGGGTAAGATTGAGAGCAGGAGGATGAAAATTATATAAGCCAACTTGAATTCCTTGAAAGGAAAAAAAAGGGGGGATATAAATATAATAAATAAATAAACATGCTTTAGAGTGGGTAAATTAAGAAACTAACATCCATATATAGCCATGATTTGGTGTAGGCACAGGGAAGCAGAAATGCGCACCTCACAAGATTAGGGTCAGCACAGGGTGGACATAATGGGTTAGAGCTAGGCAGCATAGTTGAACTTAATTCCCACTGAAATCACTTAAGCTTCAGTCATGACCAATTTGTTCCCAGTTCATTTCAATAGGACTAAGGTTTTGTGGGTTTAGGCTGAGTCCAATACGCTAGTTTAGGATGAACAGGGAGACCCGACTAACGACCTTGAGCATCTGCTGTTCCTGCCAAGTGCATCTACAAAGCCTGAAGGTCTGTTGCTTTTCCAAAATGTGGCTCTCAGGCCACACAAACTGTTGCATAGCTTCAACCAACATCATGAAGAACTAGCTTTCTAAACCTGATGATCTATTCAGGATACCTATACATTTTATTAGCGCATATATTTGTAGAGTAACTGAGCAACGTGGATGAACCATTCAGAGCATTCTGACAATTTAATATGGTATTTTAGGAAAGGAGATAGGTGAAAGTGAGACTTCTCAGAAGCTGGCAGTGACAGTAACAACTGCCTCTCTGTGTGGCATCTGCAAGTCCTTCCCCACAAATCAATGTGGGGGTTGCCCCCAAGCACTTACCATCACCAAAGTCAGGAGAGTCCCCAAAATTAAACAGGGCTGGTCCTGATGTAAGGCACAATATCCCCATATATCAACTTTAGTCTAATGTTCAGGAACTCCAATTCAGCAGCCTACACAAAGCATTAGATTATTTTCTGGAGCAAAACAGTATTCCAGGTTCAGTAACAACCACAAGGAACAGGTGGGGACCAAGGATGGTCACTTCCTGCTCTAAATTTCAAGCATGTGTTCTCCAAATTTAGGCTCCTCGTGGTCAGTTGTGACAGCCAGAATGAGAGCTTGTGGGTCTCTTGTGGGCACCTGGTTGGTCCCTGGTTTGCAGAATGGTCAATCAGATGCACCTTTTGTTCAAGCCATGTTCTTACTGTGCATTCACACTGCTTCATTCATGGAATTTTACAGGGGACCAGACAAGGTTTGCAGCCCTCTCATATTTCCACACCACTTCTTCCTTTTCCTCCAGAAAGGAAAAGCCAACTAAGCTGGAAAAGCCAGAATAACTGCAAGGCCTCTGGGCTGGCAGCACCAGGAGTCTTCCGTCTGGAAGTGCCCAGAGCCAGAGAAAGCTCATTAGAGACCACACCACAGCTACAAATCATGCACCTTTCTCAAGTTTACTCATATTATTTGCTATGGAACGTCTGGGTGAGCAATATTTCTTACCTTCTGAAAGAAATCTTCTCCACTTTTGCCTTTTCCTTCAGCGGCAGCTGAAAACAGAATAGCACACAATTAAACACGTATAATATATTGCCCTAATGAAGCATTTTCCTCACATACCCCTTTATCTCATCTTAGAGATGCTCGCTATCTTGTAAAAGAGATAAAGCACTATGCACCCCAGACTATCAGATTTGCAGCATCAACCCAACTCTGGTGAGAAAAACCGGGATTATCTTGTTCAAAAACAGAAGCAGCTCTGCAAAGCAATTAGCTTTAAATGAGTGTTGGTCAACTTCCTTCATGCAAATCTATGCCAACATGGCTTGCTCAGCCAAATTTTCCAATTCATCTGTGTTTAAAGTGGAGCAAACTGCTACCTACAAAACCAAGCTACTATTAAGGGGAAACAGGTATTATGACTGTCACCAGGGGTGGCGGGATGCCAAGACTTTTTAAGCACATAGCTCAGTCTCTTTTCATAGGGCCAGTGGAGCCTGAGTTCAACTCATTTTCAGATTTTTGATATGCTCATTCAAACCTGAGGGAAATGCATGGCTTCTCTACTAAACAAAAGGTTTGAGGTAGCTATGAAGGGTTGGCCGAGTCCCATGTTTTACTTTTAGAGATGAAAACCCTCCATCTAGTCTGTCCCTGCCTTAAAAGAAAAAGTCATCCGGACAGGCCTGTGCTAGAGAAGTGGGCAAGGAGAGTTGACCAAGAAGCTTCTTCTCTCTCTGCTTCCTGGAACACCCCCTCGTAGACCTCTGCAGCCTTGGAAAGTAGTCGCCACTGTTTCCCATGGCAGCTCTGATGGGAGAAGGTGAGACAACAATGCCAGACTTCAACCCTCACTTGAAGCAGAGAAGTCTCCATACTGGGGGTTGAAAATATCGGAAGGTCCCTGGGAAAGGATCCCTTTCTATGTAAAAGAAAATCAGGTCTAGGGCTGAGATCCAAGAACTACTTCCGACACCTCTAAATACTTGGGCATGCCCAGTCGTACTTCTTTGCTTTTGCGGTTGTTGTTCAGCAGTTTATTGGCACTACCACCACCATCACAACCGCCCAATGTAAAACTGCCTTTGAATGCTACAGCGCCTCAACCCTGTAGCCCATAAGCTCAATTCTGAGGTCCTCTTGGTGCACAGAAGTAGTTGCACAGTTCTTCTCATTCCACTCTAGGGCTAGACTTAATCAAACTTTTTACTTTGGCTTTTACAACCAAAGCATGCCAATCTTTGAACTTCCTCCAGTGAGTAAACCAAGTATATCTGCAAACTCGAAAATATTCAGTTACCTATCATTCACACAGCTTACCTCCATTCAGCAAGAAAGAAAAACATTTCTAAAGTTTTTTTTTAGAAACTTTCATTAGCTCTATTTGAAAATGAAATTCTAACTGATAATCCAATATGCATTGCTGGACTGATTCAGAAATGTATGAGATTATGGGCTGTTAATGATGTTAAGGAAAAGCTAGATGATCTAGGTCTTCTGTATAAGAAAGTGAGTTTTGCCAGGATGATAAAAACACACTTGTATATTCTATGCCAGCATTGAAACCGGTGCTATACACATGGCGAAAAGGCAGAACTGAAAACATATATATACCTTAGTTATTACTTCAGCATTTAATATGTATGTGAGGCCATCCTGCATAATACTACATATACCCTTGTGATTTCTGGACACCAGTATTCAGGTTTTAGGCACTGGGGTACCTGGCAATTTGCCAATCCATCTCAAATGTTACTTTGCTTTCCAAAACAGACTTCTCCTGTTGCACAAGACAACAACCAAGAACCTAGACTATCTAAGAGAGACTCGCATGAGAGAATGAATGATGGTAAGGCTATCTGCTCAGAGGATGGAGTCAGTGTTAAACAGCAACTACACTGAAACTCACTCTTTGCTTCAGGTTAGTTCTCCTGGGATTTGCATCAAGCCTTTTGAAAGAGGTGAGTTACCAACTTAAACTCATGCAGTATCTGATCAGAATTATTGTTTGGTTTGTATGGAACAGACATGAAACTGCTAAATCAAACATGAGAAATAAATTTTCCAACATTGTTCTAAATGAAAAGGAGGCATAGGAGAAGAGAATCAAGAGGACAGCAGTGTTTAACGCTTTCCCTTGCAGCCGGTATTCTTTTCAAGGTTTGCCTTTGTCTTCTACCTGCAGGGTAAATACAGGCAGGAAAGATAAAAATACATGATTTTTTTTAAAGTTAAGATCTAACTGCTCTTAAAAATAACTTTAAAAACAGCTTAAGTTCTCTTTCAAGAGGGTTTGAGAAATTTTGGAATGGTATGGCTACAATTACGTTAAAGTTTCTCTTAAACACTTGAATGAAAACATATTTTAATATATTCGCAATATGACTTAAGCCTGGTGTACTCTCTTCTGAGCTCGGTATTGGGGGTAAAAACCTTCAACTCATACTCCAACATGTTGTACATTTATAGGAAAGACATAAAACTAGACAACCGAAACCTGCAACAACGAGGTGGCTATTCTAGGGGCTTGGACACTTACATGGCCTACGTTCATTCAGCCTTAAAATGCTCAGACTTCTAGAAAAACAAAGTTCATCTCCAAAACCTGGTCAGAATTGCTATAATTTGAAATTCTAAATACCATTTTGAAGGCAAAGTCTGAGTTCACTCCCTGTCACTTTAGTCCTCAAGGCATCAAAATGGGCCAGAAACGAACCACCAAGAGAAAGAACAGCTTTTGTTTCTCCTTGGAACTGTGCAGGAACAGTTTAGATTTGCCCCTTTTTGCCACGCTCAGATAAATCCAGTTGGCGCTACTCAAGAACAGAAACAATTGCTTCTGAACACCTCACTGTTCTTGCTGCAGTGTTGAGGAAGGAGAGGCAAGGCAAGGCAAGGCATTGTTCCCATCACAATAAACCATGGCTTATCACAAGATCTGAACCAAAAGATTGGCAAAGGCCTTGATGCCTCTCACAACACTTCAGGAACAGGTCCAGAACTCAAATCCCTATGCAAAGAAAGAGGACCAAGCTCAGCGCTCACAGAAATTAGGCTCAAATTCGAAGGAAAAAAGGTGACCGACCATTTCTGCTCTTTTCTGGCATTTCTCCTATCCCACTGTGCTGACCGTGAAAAGGCAAGTATGAATACCACCATCCCTGAACAGGTAGCATGGTTGTTCAGTCTGCTTCATGCTGGTGGAGAAAGACTTTGATCCAGCTTCTCTTTTGCAGAACGCACGTTTCCGAGCTAACCGGTATAAATGATTTCCTACCTTTAACTAGGTGGGCAGGCAACCTTCTCTACCTCCACCTCCTTACACAGCAAGACTAATGACTTTCCCAATACAAGTAGGATGTGCTGGGCTCTACCATCCATTAAATTCCTGCTTCTCTGATGTACATTTCAATTAGAATACCTCTAAAGTTACCTATGCCAGGTTTGTCAATCTGGTGCTCTTCAGATGCTTTGAACTTCAGTTCCCATCAGCCCTAAACACCACAGCCAGTGTGACCATAAACACTGGGACTTGTACTCTGAAAGATCTCTCAACGCCGTTCTGATGCACACAATTTCTAGTCTTACGTAAGCCAAGGACTGACAACTGCCAACCTCTGCAGTGGATGCCACCCTCCCCAAAAGCCATTTTGTTTGACCTCTAGCAAATACACCATTTTTAATAAAGCGGCAAAACAATTGCCAACCATTTTTCACATAAGGAAAAGCAATTTGTTCTCAAAACTTCCTAAGGAAGGCCAACATTGTACACTTCTCTGTTGCCACTCTCACCAGGGTCCGTTAATGTGATGCTTGGAACACGTACTCCAGAAACTGACAAACTTTAAGGGCTCTGTTAGGCTGATTATTACTAAGCTTGCGTGCCTAAAGGAGTTGGCTTGCATGACAAAAAATACATCTGGACTACTACGAGGCAAACAGTGTCCCGCAAGAATTCAGAGGCTGGCAATCCCTGGTCTAAGCAGGGATTTCCCCCTGCCTCCAGTGTCCCCCAGTACCTACTGAAATTTACAGACAATGCACTTTTCTGCCCTGCTATTTTGAATGATTTTTAATCAAACCATTTCTAAGAAAGCAGTCCATTTACAGAACCTACAGGTGTGCTGAAAACTCTAGCTATTTCTATTTAAATACGAGTACATATGTTAAGCAATTTATATTTTCAGCTTTGCTCTTATGGTTTTCACAGTTATAATGCAATATTGCATTTCATATACTTCTCATTTTCAGCCAATATAGAGCTGCAAAAGTTCTATCCAAAACTAACAGTACAAAGTTGAAACAGGTGTTAACTATTATGATACCCATGAAGTTCAAGGTTTTGTCTACTTAAACATGATAAAGTACTGTTGAAAATTCATGCAATTAAATTTAAACAAATGATCTTGAAATTCTATTCAATGTTATTTTAATTCCTTTTTTGCTGCTGCAGTCACTAGTACATTTCAAAGAGAATATAGACTTATGAAGCCAAGACAAATTTTGTGTAAATGTAGAATTGACTGCATCTCTTTCAAGCGTCATTCATCTTGGAACTCATGTCTTTCCTTTCTAATAAAAGCAATCGCTGAATTTTTTGAGCAGTACTGAAAAAAACCTTCATAACCTCTAAAAGCATTTTGTTCTAAGTCCTGAATTGTACTACTACTGTTATTAAAGCAATGTACCCCCTTATGTTGGAAGTCTTCCACTTAAGTTTTATTAATCTTTTATGTTTGAATTCTGCCCATCCAAAAATGCCTTGAGGACTTAGAGAAAACGTCTCATTTTCCAGGTGGCTATGTTGAAGAGTCATACTGTGACTGTTTATCAGTGACTCTGGCAAAAAGCTATGGTATGAAAATTAAGCTGGAGTTTTTGATTGACAAACAATTTATCAATCTAAGCTACCTTACATGGAAAAGCTATTTGTCCAAGTGCATTGACACTATCAAAATCTTATTTCTGAAAGTGAGGAAATGAAGTCATTGTTGAGACAACAAGATCAAAGCAGAAGGAAAAAAACCTAAATGGAGTGAGTAAAGATATATTTTCACAGCTGTTTGTGTACAGATATTTAGAAAAGAGACCTCTTGATTCTTGCTAAAGCTCCAGTAAAATTTTCCACTGTCT